GGACCATTCCCTGGAGAAGGATGTCATGCTTGGTAAGGTGGAGGGTCGATGAAAGAGGGGGAGGCCTTCAACGAGATGGATCAACACGGTGGCTGTGATGATGGGCTCGAGTATAGCAGGGATCGTGGGGCTGGCGCGGGATCGGGCAGTGTTTCGTTCTGCTGTGCATGGGGTTGCTATGAGTCGGAGACGACTCGACGGCACCTGACAACAACAACAACAAGAAGTCAGAAAATTAGTGACAGCTGTCTATATAGCCTTTCCTTTTTTTCTTCATGTGTTTCATGGTAAGATCTCACTGCTTCCCAGGTCTGCCTATTGACTTCAGCAAAGCAGTCAGTGTTTGGGCCCATGCTTTCAAGCAACTGAAGCCCCTGATTTAGTTTAGAAAAAATTCCAGGTAATCTTTTCATTGTAAAACTTTTGGACAACTCCTCTCCTTCCACTTCCTCATTCTTTCTTCTTCAGTATTTCTTTGCTCTGCTGTACGGTAGTATTTTGAACAACAAAATAAAAGCATTGAACAACATTGTGTGTAGTGCATATCACTAATGATAAGATGTACCAAAAAAAAAAAAAAAAAGGACGGTCGTAAGTGTAGTTCTTCTTAACTCAAATGCATCATAAGTTCGGGACTACCTGTAAATGGAAAGATGTTTGATGGATTGGAAGACCACATACTGTCAAGGTCACTGCATTAGTTTTCTATTGCTGTGTAACTAACTACCACAGGCTTAGTGGCTTCAAACAACCCCCATTTATTACCTTCCAGTTTCTGCCGCTCCAGGTCTCACAGGGCTGCAGTGCAGCGCCGCTGGGCTCCCTTTCCACGTGCACCTGACTGTTGGCAGAATCCAGTTCCTTGCGATTGTAGGGCTGAGCTCCTGTTCTCTTCCTGTTGTTGACAAGGAAGGCCTCTTATCTGCTAGAGGTCTGCGCTCCACAGGCCTTTCATGCTTCCAATCTCTCATTTCAGGAAGGTCTCACCTGATGACGTCAGGCCCACCTGGATACTCTCCCTTTCGATGAACTCAAAATCACCTCATGGGGAAGCTAATCAGGATGGTGGTCTTTCCCCAGATTCAGAGGTTGTACCCCCCTCGAGGGGTGGTGATTATACAAGATGTGCTCACGAGGAGGTGGGATCTTGGGGGCCACCTTGGAATCGTGCCTGCTACGATAAGAATTCTCCCCAAATTCGTCTGTGAATTCGATGCAATCCCTGCACGCTGATCCTCAAATTATATGGAAATGCGAAGGACCTAGAACAGCCCAAACAATTTTGAAAAAGAAAACCAAAGTTGGAAGGTTTACACGACCTGATTTCAAAACTCACCGTAAAGCCACAGTGATCAGACCCGTGCAGTGCAGGCATAGAGATCGACTGAGTCAAAAACTAAATCTTTACATTTGCTGCTTTCAGGAAATGGTGTTGGAACACTTGGATGTCTGCATGGAGAGTGTGAGCTTTAGCCCTTATTTATACCACATGCAAAAATGAACTTGACATGGGCAAAAAAAAAAAAAAAAAGAGTCA